GACGGCGCTCCCGGCTACAAAACCTGACGCTACGCAACCGCCCAAAGAACGCAGGTACCCACCTATAGTCGTTGAGAAGATGCCCGACTGGACGAGCCATTTCAAGGCTCTGCACGAGCAGCTGGGGCGCCCTCCGAACGCCAGACCCTTCGGAATGGGAGTTCGCTTTTCCCCCGCGGACGGTGAGGAGTACCGACTCGTACAGGCGTACTTGTCTAATTTAGACAAAGTACAAGCAGGTGTGAGTTGGTACTCTTATGCCCTCCCGGAGGAACGGAGCGTAAAGGTAGCAATTAGAGGCCTACCTTTTCACACGGAACCGACTCAAATCCAGGAAGCCCTAGCCTCTAAGGGCTTCACAATCGAGTATGCGAAACGCATCCGGGCGCGAGCAGGGAGGCCCGGCTGCATTTTCTTCGCCTCGCTTCAACAGACCCCAGGTATAATACCAAATATTTATAACATCAAGGAGCTGCTCAGCATGCCGGGCGTCACGATAGAGGCGTGGAGAGGCAAACGAGGACCGGCGCAGTGCCACAGGTGCCAGGGCTTTCGGCACTCCTCGAAAGGATGCCACCGGCCCTTGGCCTGCGTCCGCTGTGGTGAGCCCCACGCAGCTGCTGACTGCCCCCGCCCGCGCTCCGAACCCGCTACCTGTGTAAACTGCGGAGGCGCCCATCCGGCGAATCACTCGTCGTGCCCAGCACACAAGAAGGAAGCCCGGAATAAGAAGGCGAGCACGGTGGCCAAGACGGGCCCCGTTTCCGGCCCTATTACAAGAGCAGCGATAGTTCCAAACGAGGTGAGTGAAACAGCTCCCTCATCACTGATGGCCCCCGCAAACGGACCCAAAACCAGACTACCCCCGGCGGCGACGGATAACAAAACTACCCGCCGCAGAAAAAGAAAGCGAGGAAAGGGCACCACCCACACCGAACACGCCCCCAAGATGGCGGCGACGGACACAAACCCCGCCCCCATAACCGAACAAGCTCCCGGATCGAACACTGAGCCTGCGTGGGTACAGCAGTTCGCAAAAATGATGGCTACCCAACTCCAACTTTGCTTCGCTCAAATGACGGCCCAAAATTCCGGACACTGAAGGTGGTACACTGGAACGCGCAGTCGCTCACAGGTAAGCGTCGCTTGCTCGCGCATTTTCTGCGTGAGCACGACGTCGACATCGCACTTGTGAGCGAAACTTTGCTTAAACCAGGCACTGACTTCCGTGTCCGAAATTATTTTGTATACAGGCAAGATGAGACCACGCCAGAAGGGCGCACATACAGGGGCCTGATGACACTGGTACATAGGAGAGTCATTCACCAGCCGGCCCCTACAGTGAAGCTAAAGTCCCTGTACGCGCTTGGGATCGACGTCGAACTGCAAGGTACAGTTACTCGCTTTTACGCTGCATACAAGCCACCAAATCAGCCGTTAGACGTCAAGGAGCTCCGCGACCTTTTGCAACCGCACCCTACCATTATAGCTGGAGATCTCAACGCCAAGCACACGAGCTGGAATTCCGCTACCATCAACACCACAGGGCAGGCGCTTTACGACGACGCCTGTACGCACAATTACACAATTCTCGGACCGGACGAACCTACAAGGTACGACCCGAATGGAGATGGAGATGTCCTTGATGTGGTGGTACTCAGGGGCGTGGACGACACCATCACTCAAGAAGTGATGATGGACCTCCCTTCGGATCACAGACCGGTACTATTAGAATTTATGCAACTACCCACGAAGGTGAATATTTCCCCCCCCTGCCGGCGAATTGACTGGGAAGCTTTTCATAATAACTTAACGCAGCACACGCCCACACGACCAATACAAACAGCCAGTGATGTCGACTTGGCAGTCGACGAGCTCACCGCGGCGCTGCAGTCGGCGCTAGAAACAGCCGCTCACACTCGCTCTGCAGGTAAAAACAACTCCAACGATTTACCTTACAGAGTGATGTTACTTATAAAGGAAAAACGCCGGCTGAGACGACTGTGGTTGAACACTCGCTGTCCCACTACAAAAACACAGCTAAACCGCATCACTGAGAAAGTCAAGCTTGAAATGGAAAATTACGCAGTCGCGTCTTGGGAGAGTCACTTGCTTACAGTAGGCGATAGCATGCCCTCTGTTTATCGCCTCTGTAGGCAACTCACGAATGCTAAGACAGCGGTAAGACCCTTAATAGATAGCAATAACATACCAAAATATCACGCCAAGGACCGGGCTGAGTTACTCGCCGACCACCTGACTTTGCAGTTCGTACCGAATGCTGCGACGGACAGTGAGCACGTGTCGATTATAGAATCACATGTGAATAGCTGTTTGTCGCACCAACCGACCGCCGACGACTACCCTGTTGTATTTTCCCCTGGGCAGGTCCGGAGGGAGATTTCAAGGTGCAAACCGAAGAAAGCCCCGGGCCTTGACAACATCTCCAATACCGCACTCCGCCGCATGCCGCTCAAAACAATAACAGCGGTAACTCGCATATTTAACGGCGTGCTACGCACTAGTCACTTTCCCACCGCATGGAGGCGGGGGAAAGTGATTATGATACACAAAAAAGGTAAGAATCCATCTTTACCGGCTAGCTATCGCCCGATAACACTATTACCGAACATTTCTAAAGTGCTGGAGAAGTTAATGCTGAAACACCTGTTGCCACACATAACACCACGCAATGAGCAGTTTGGTTTCAGGCAGGGGCACTCGACGACTCTCCAGCTTGCCAGAGTGTTACATGACTTAACGACCACCCTTAACAGAAATGAGTACTCGGCCATAGTACTCCTCGATATGGAGAAAGCGTTCGACAGAGTATGGCATGAGGGCTTGCTGTACAAGCTGTCGACCGTCAACACACCTTTACGCCTCATCAAAACGATAGCCTCCTTCCTCGAAAACAGGACATTCCGTGTAGCAGTGGAAGGCCATCTCTCCACTACGCGCCCAATACGCGCCGGCGTACCGCAGGGCAGCTGTCTCTCGCCCGCGCTCTATGCCGCCTATACGGACGATATTCCGGTGGAGAGCGGCGCGAAACTGGCCCTGTACGCCGACGACACCGCATATTACGCCGCCTCAATGAACCTTAAGCACGCGGTAAGGAAAATACAGCCCACACTAGACGCACTCACCCTATGGCTCGAGAAATGGAGACTCACTATTAACATCGACAAGACGCAAGCGATGACTATAGGCCGCCATCGTTACCAACCACCGCCGCTCAAAATTAGAAACACACCAGTACCGTGGGCTAAAAAGGTAACCTACTTAGGCATCACTATTGACCCACGCCTAACAATGCGACCGCACATCACCAGCTTAGTCGCAAAAACCAACACTGCTCGTGCATTACTTCAACCCGTTCTTAGAAGCAAACTCCCCTTGAGAGTCAAATTAACTATCTACAAAATTTACATCCGTCCCATTTTCACATACGCATCGCCTGCGTGGTACGCGCTGGTCGCCGAGAGCCAGAAGAAGCGCCTTCGTGCCCAGCAAAATCTCGTGCTGCGCGCAATAACAGACGCAGGCAGATACGTACGCAACACAACCCTAACGAGAGACTTAAAAATTGAAACTGTTGATGATTTCATATACAGATTGGCCAGCAGTATGTTCGATCGAGCGGACAGGTCGGAGCACGCGCACCTGCGCGACCTAGCGCCCGCCCAAGCCCGCTCTCGAACGCACAGCAGCAGAGGGCTGCCCAGGGAGCTCATCCCGGACTCCGAAGAAGCCACTGCGGGTTCCCGCGCACCACGCGCGGTCGAGCCCCCACCACCAGATTGACAACGGCCCCGTCCGCACGGCGCGGGCGGGACCACACCACCGGACACGACACCCCGATTATGACTTTGACACCCGACTTGACAGCAAAAAAAAAAAAAAAACACACACAAAAGATGGCAAATAACAAAAAAAAATAAAAAATAAATATAAAATGTAAAAAAAAATCAAAAAACAGTATATACAAAAAAAAAAAGAAATACTCATAAAAATTGCCCACGACCGACAAAGATGACTGTCCTATCCCCTCCCACCTAAGTCCACCGCCCGCTCGCTGGTCGCTCACTGGGCCTCCCTAACGGGTCTCACCCGGTGGGCTTGACCGCGCCGAGGGCGGTGTGTGAAGAGTGGGGGGGACGGACCCCGACGACCGTCCCGTCCTTAGACGGGACGCGAACCCGCAGCAACTGAGGTGGGCACCACGCCCAGTACAGTTTCCCCGCACGTCGCGGCGCCTGCGGCGCCGGCGACGCGCGAGAAGAAGACGAGGACGTTTTGCGGGGCGATTCAGTAACGAGTTATCGGACCGAGCGGAGCTCTGAGTTAAGTAATCATTTTCAGGTAGAGGGCGTCTCTATGATTCGGACTTCGGCTCTAGTTAGCCGTTTTCGTGGCTAACTAGAGCCGAGGTCCGTGTTAAATGTCAAGCAGTTTCATATGTAAATTTGAACAGTGCCACAACGGACGTAACGTGAATTAAAAATCATCCATGCAAAACTTCTTGACTTTGGACATTCAATATTGGTTCGTGCTAAGGGTGCGAAACATTAAATTCAATTACACATGAACGAGAAACGTTGCAACTCTTCTATGCAGTGAATTTTTTGAACGAGTAATGTGATAGTGTCTATACACTAACAATTGTGAACGTAAACTAAATAATAACATTAATTTGCTATTAACAAAAGAACATTGTTGAACATTGTTAAGAAGGCAAATTGTCTTTACTATGTAGACTAATCCTATTATTTTGTCCACACGTTTTTAATTTTAAATAGTTTTATATGTTAAAGTATAAAGATGTCTGTTTTTTAAAACGTGGAGACATGTAATTGGCCTTCTGTAATTATTTTTTCTTCAACTATGTCTGTTATTATGAGCTGTTGGTCTCCCAAAAAATAAATAAATAAAAATAAATAAACTTGTAGCCAACGCTGGCACCAATATTTGGAGATTGGTTAAAGTAATTGGCTTACCGATATGACAACGAGTGCATTTCCAACGGCGCCGATAACAACCAGGATGCCATAGAAGGTGAGGAGCAGAGCTCTGGTAGGGTCGTCGACCTTCCTGTTCTGCGAGAACTTCTCTAGGAGGACGTTCGGTTGCTGGATGCCCCTGGAAGCCTCTATGATCATCCTGACGGACGCGTTCACCGTCAAATTCATACCGGCCTCCGGCACCTAAGGACAATCGAGAAAGGATTTTAGAATTCGATTTTCTATGCAAGAGTACATATAGTTATTACTTTTCGACATTGTCAAAAAAATTGAATTTATCAAAAAAAAATGTATTCATGTAATGCATAAGAATCTCTAGCAAACGGGCTTTAAGAGGATTTGAGCCTGGGGGTCGTAACACAGGTTTTGAACCTAGTACGATCTCCAGCTCTCTCAAAGAGCTGCATTGTTATTACTGTTTTTGTCATTCAATACCCTTTAATTATTTATAATGTTACTTTGTGACTTTGTGAGAGAAAATAAATAAATAAATTATTAAATTATAAATCATTGTTCAACCTTACTATCATCGAAATCTTTTCTGGCGCTTTGCCGGCCGCTGCCGAGGCAAGCTCGCTACTATCGCTTGGCCCACTCGTCATGATTTCAACACTTATGACCTAGTGTGAGTTAACCCAAGAATATTTATAACAAACCAAGGATTCTTTTCGCAATCTTACTGAGTTGACTCGCGTTTCCGCAAAAATCCTATCTTTTTTCAGTAATACAGCGAAATGTCATCGCCATTGTCTAATTATCAGCGTTTTCACAAAATCCCTAGAATATATCTATGCCGAATATCCGAGAGATTTTAATATATTATATTAAAATTTTGAAGTTTCTCAGGTAAGCTCTAAATTCACGTTTTATTTTACCATTCAATTCCGTTCCAACTGTGGTAAGTAGGTACCTAAAGTTTTCGATAATTAAGTTGAAAGCAGCCTAAGTTGCTTAGCTCCTGCTCAACTTTGTTTGTGAGCAAATTACTTTCCGGTAACATTTTTTAAGTGGCCGATCAATGGACGGAACTTCTCAACGATCAGCGAACGACGATTGAAAAAAGTTTTTATTCTCTCAAACGAAACGAGATTAAAATTAGTTTCTCATCGGAAGTTTCCTACCTGTTTCGTGAGTTTGTTAAGATTCGAATTAATCCGATATCTTCGGAAGTAAAATAAAAGCGTTTTGTTATGAAGCAAAAAAGCATTTTCAGAATTTAAACTCTTTGATTAAAATTTAAAAATTGATCGTGATGAAATGGAGTGTACCGTATTTATCATATGGCGTCTGATCCTATTTCCTTTCCCGTCCCAAACTAGGATTCCCAATTTAACCCATTACATTATTTGAATACATTTTCTCATTTCAACCGAATTGCATTCCTTACAATCCCAACTCAACACGAGCTAGAAGTTTGAGATCTATAGCATTTATTTAGATTTATATTCCAAAATTGAGTCTGGTCAAAAGGGATCTCAATTTAAATGTGTTTCTTTCATGCACATGTTGTGAGAAAGTAATTTCTAGGAAATTAATAAACCTTAAATAAAGTGTAATCTATGTAAGGTAAAGATTACCCTAGACCGTCGCTCCGATCTCAGCGGGAAGCCGTCAATGAGGAAAACAGTATTTTTCCACCAAATGAAACAATAAACAGTACTTAAGGAAAAGCATTTGTTTGCCGCTGTAAATTTACAGAGCTTTCGCCTTGCACAAGTACCTGCTCGTAAACAAATAAGACTAAGTAAACAGATTCAAGTTTATTTGTATTCACGAATGCTGTCCAGAATGTAAACTTTTTGATTGTCGAAGAGCCTAAAGAATTCCTTTTTTTCGTACAAAATTACCATTGTATTTTTGTTTGTTAATAAATTATGTGGGTAATAAAAATATAGTCATATAAACGTCACCTACTCGCTATGTTATAGTGAGGCGAAATGAGGCAGGGCTTATGGCTTTGCCCAGCTAGATAATCAATAGATATAATTTTTATTATTTTAAAGCATGTAACTGCTTGGTGTTTAAATCTAAAGAAAATATAACTAGAAAAAATTCCACGCGGGCCAGGCTGCAGACGGGACTCGAACCCGCACCCTTCGCAATCCGGGCGAATGCATGCCCTCAAGGACCACGTCGAAATTCTTCTAGCCATTCTTAAGCTGCAAGGCAGCGCCATCTCTTCACATTATAGGTAATCAATAAGCATGCATCCGGGTGAATGCCCGGATTGCGAAGGGTGCGGGTTCGAGTATCGTCTGCTGCCTGGTCAGCGTGGATTTTTTTCTAATCAATAGATGTTATCATCCTCCTTATACTCGTAAAGGGAATGGGATGAGCCACTCTGACTGCGTCTGCAGAGTTATCTTTTAGCTTCCTCTGATAACGCAGCTGAGCGTGCTCGTCTCCTAGCGGTCTGTCAGGCAGAGTCTGGTTACTAGTTGCAAGTTCTTTCTTCAGCCAATATTGGGATTTTGCTTGACAGGAGCACTCTCTCTCTTGCCGTTTCACTTGACTTGGCGTCAAGACGTATGTTGTGTATTATTATTTGTATTTTTTTTTCTCTCTTTATTAGGGTAAACAAACAATGATACAATCTTGTTAAAACTAATTGTAACTAATAAGTTGTATAAACTAATACTATCAGTGTACTAATTGCATTATCCACTACATTTGGATCCATTGACCTCTAAGAAGCTTGGTGTGCTCAGTAGATCGAGAATGTACTTCACATCGGCCCACCGACTGCAGCTTTATAAGGCACAGGTTCGGCCTCACATGGAGTACTGCTCTCATCTTTGGGCGGGGGCACCCCAGCACCAGCTTCTCCCTTTGGATCGCATCCAGCGCCGAGCGGCTCGAATAGTCGACGACCAGGACCTTTCCGATCAGCTTGATCCTTTGGCTTTGCGTAGGGATGTAGCTTCGCTCTGCATCTTCTACCACATTTATCACGGGGAGTGTTCTGAGGAATTGTTCGGATTAATCCCAGCTGCTGCATTTCGCCATCGTACATCGCGGCAAAAATTTCATCCCCATCATCTTGATGCGTGGGTATCCACAACCGTGCGTTTTTGTCGAAATTTTTTACCACGTACGACAAAACTGTGGAATACGTTGTCGCCAGCAGTGTTTCCGGACCGATACGACCCAAAAACCTTCAAAAAAAGAGCGTACTCCTTCCTCAAAGGCCGGCATCGCATTTGTGATACTCCTGGTGTTGCAAATGTCCATGGGCGACGGTGATCACTTATCATCAGGTGAGCCGTCTGCTCGTATGCCCCCTATAACATAAAAAAATAAAAAAAAATACCACAGAGTTTCTAACAGTAATTAGCATTGGGAGACTGTATAAATTTAACCTAAATTTACTATTAATTTACTTTATTTGCCTATTATACTTAAATATGTAAATACATACTCTATAATACAATTTCTGATTTAGTTACTTAAAAGTTTCAAGTACTTTTCTCATAAACGAAGTAACAGGGATCGCTGTAATTGATTCTTTTTAAGTTTAGACAATTATTAGTTTTAAGCCTTTGTAATTTATTTATTAATATGAAAATATAATAAATAAATTAACATTATTAGATGTTTATATGATAAATTATATTTCTCTAACTCATTCATGTATGAGGACCTAACCCAATTCAAGAGTATACCTTATATACGATTACTATTTCACTGAAATACTCTTATTTAGGATGAGGACAAACTGGCGTCATTTTTCGAGTTGAGAGTCGCTGAAAATGAGTCTCGCAATATTCTTTCATTGAAAATTACAACACATTTTGTGCTGTCGCATATTCCTTTTGTGTGAAACCGAATGCAGCTTATTTCGCACGGCTTATTTTCAGTTCAAAAAAATCTTAATGATGTTGAAAAATATTTAGGTTATCAACTTTACAAAGCCGCACACGGAAACGGAGGATCTGGGCAATACAGTTGTCACCGCGTTCGGTGTGCAATCATAGAAGTTAAGCTACTTCAGCATTGGTCGGTCCTAGGATGGGTGACCAATCTTTTTCTATCTTGAGCTGCAGCGTTCTTTGGGAGGCATGTTAAGCTGTTTTCTGGACTGTATATGCCACTGAACACAGAAAGAGGTTAGCATGGACTTGTGGCCGGGCAGGCAAGCCACAGATATGTGTGAGCAAATGCTCATAGCTTGACCAAAACTTGGGTCTGAATGCGTCGTTGCTCTAGTCTAGGGGGTGAGCGTTGATTGGTGTGATTGTTTGATGTCGCGTCGTTTAATTGGCTATTATCTATTAGCAGGAAGTGTAGTGGTTTATGATCACCCCTCTAACCTCTTTCTGTATTCTGTGGTATTTGCAGTCCCCACCAAGTTAGTACCCACCAATCATCCCGGCAAGAAGGTCATCTCCCTATTTCCTTGATTCCCCAGCAGTGGGCAAAATAATAGGCAGACGCTAAGTTTTATGACTCATGTCCCAGAGTGTAGCCGTTATTAGCTTTATCTATATAGGTATAACATATAATACCAATGATAACATAAACAATATCTGCATTATGTAATTATTTTTTTATCAGAATATAATTTCAAATTTATCGGTTGCGAAATAGGATAGTAGGGGCGTATGTGACAACATGGCGTTCCGTAGGCCTTGAGGTTATTTATTATGCGTTTCATTAAAAGTTTGGGAGAATATTGGATTACTATGTGCTCAACTCGTGGTTTCATATTTCTTATTGAAAAGAAATGAGACCTATATTTACTTTGCACCAGACTGTCTTAAATATATTAATGATACAAGGCGCACAAAAGCGTAGGTAAACCAATATTAGATGTTTACCAAACTTTTTGTTTACAGTAAGACAAAAGGAACATTACAGCAGAAATGTGAGTGACATAATGATATGTCAAACTCAAAAGTGAAGGCTGTTAGAAGTACTTGTGAAGGTCGAGAAGCTGCGCCATCGATTCGCAAACCTACAGCGGGAGACCTTTTACTGAGAAGAACTGGCGAGAACTCAGAGTGGGCTGTGTTTTTTTCCCTGTATTATCTATCTATACATAAAACTCAAAGGTGACTGACTGACATAGTTATCTATCAACGCACAGCCCAAACCACTGGACAGATCGGGCTGAAATTTGGCATGCAGGTAGATTTTAAAACGTAGGCATCCGCTAAGAAAGGGTTTTGATCAATTCTACCCCC